GGAACATTCTTTTCAGGTATCACTTTTTCCACTGCCGTCGTCAACGCCAGCCGTTCCCATCGCTCTTTTTATTCCTGCCTCAAGCGTTCTATTTCTTGACCCTGTTTCTTGGTACAATCTTCAAATAGTTTTTTTCCACATATCCTTGTCTTCTTCTACAGTGAAGCATAGTCTTCGTCACTTGATCTAGCTCCTTTGTGGTCTTCTCCAGTTCTTCTATTGTTCCATTGAGGTCTTGCATGGTTTCGTTTGTCTGAACTTGTTCTTCTACTCTCGCCCTCTTTGGTGGCACAGCTGCTCTCAGTTGTGAACTAGACGAAGCAGCCTCGCTATTCATCTCCTGATACATTCTTCTCAAACCAGGCCTAAGCTTGGTTGGCAGAGGCATCTCACCTGGTTGGTAGGTCCTGGAACTTCCCAATCCAAGCTCGTTCGCCAAGTCACTTCCTGAGAGAGCCCCGTTTCTCCACCTCATTAGCCTCATGTTTGGGCGGTCTAATACTCCACTTTCTCCAAATGCGGCCATCAAAAAGACTTTCAACGGGCGGTCCCCACGGTTATCATGCATTAAGATGTTTATTAAGGCGACCAGCATCTATCATTGGTCCTACATATGCCTCCGCTAGGTCCATCAGTTCGTTCAACTCGAAGTTTTCCATCTCGTTGAATTCGGTTTGATTATCAGTTTGTGTCAATTGAAATCTGATGAATGATTAAATGATCAATAAGGATCTAGAAAAGAGGTCACGAATCTCGCATTTGTCAGCGTCACTCTAATTTTGTATTTTGTATAAAATTTATTTAAAACAGTCAGATAAAAAGATTTTGATCTTAAAATATAATAAAATCAGTTCATTACTAAAATTTTGAAATTCGACCTAAGAACTCTGGATCTATTCCTAAGATCGTCATTCTATTATTCAGGGCCACTAATCCTTTGGTACCCAGGGTCTCAATAACATAACACATACCACACAACATATCACACACAACACACTTAGTATGACACCTTCCTGCATGCAACCTAAACTCAGCCTATACTCAATTGATATATTTTTTTGTAAGTATACTTGTAGGTTAGTATCAGAAACGATTACGTGTATCAGTGCATACCGCTCCCGTGGATGCAGTCGTCCTCGGTTCGGGTCGTGTACTATAAGCGAGAGTTCCTTTACCTCCCTCTCCACAAGGAAGTCTCTCAGTCTCGTCAAGGACAAGACTAGGTTTTCCGGGTCCACAATCTGCTTCTCCGTCGTGCTCGTCACCAAAAAGCATACATACTTTTCAGGTATCTGTGACGCCGCCGAAGGCAAGGCTGCTATGCCTCCTAATCCAGGTCTTTGCTTCCAAAGGAATTCTATGTTTTTATATTCTCTCTTAAAATCCGCTGCTAACGCTGTTCTAAAACTCATGTCTGATGAGGTTGCTATCGCACATGTCCTTTTTGTAATTTTAAAATCGCTATCTTTCAATAATATGTTACGTGAGTACTCATTTGGCAAGTTAAAGTATGACTCAACTAATCTCCTTATGTCCGGTTTCTTACGGTCCTCGCCTGTTTCTGCTTCAAGATCACCTGTCTCTCTTGCTATTCTCAATTTTTTATTAATAACTTTTCAGTGTGGGTAAGTCCTACCCCCACTCACCGGACAAAATTGTTCATCGACGTCCCCGTCTATCGCATACCGGTTATTAAATCGAGGTCGGATGCTGGAATGAGTAATTGCCCTTCCTGGGCAGCCCAGGAAGGATCATCCCTTTCGGTTTTTATGTATTTCATGCTCTCGCGGTCTACATCTTGAATTGAGACAATGGTCTCCTTTGGGTCTGATGTCCTTTCGTTCAGCCCTTCCAAGACACGCAGATTTGTCAAGTCTTGTTCGTGGGATTGCTGTTGCTCGTCGTCGAATTCTACTTCGGGCTTGGACCGGGTCATCAATCCACTCCTCGTCGCGGTCGTCGACTATGTCGATGTCTCGCGACATGGTTATTTCTTCTAGACCCACCACTTCTTCCACTATCTTCTTCAGATCTATCCTGTCCACTACGAAGTCATCTCCGTAAGGATTATTTTTCTTGGTGAGTCTTGTCCTTCCACTCTGTCGAGTCTGTATCGTAAACGGAAGATCTGGTTCCAAATTCTTGGGGACCTCCATCGGTTCGGGTTCTTGCCAGTCCTCTTCTGCGTAGGGTAATGTTTCTTCATCTACTTCAGTTGCCTCGTTGGAATTCAGGTCCAGTGGTGGACTTGACCCTTCCTCTACGACCTCATTCCCATCATTCTTTTCCCTGGTCCCCTTCTCATTGACCTCACAGGTAGGGTCCATCATCAGATAATCCCCCTCTTCCGTGTTTGCATGTAAACATCAGTCTTCTGTCGATGGGTTGTGTGGCTTAATGTTCTCCTAGTGAGTGGCTGGGCCGGTACTCAGTCTATAAAAACGTCCCTCCTGGTGCATCTCTGTTATCATGAAGCGTCCCCTCCACTTCTTAAGGAGCTTTTTTGTTCCCTTCGGTGGTATAACGTTTTGCAATACCCGTACGTAGTCTCCTACCGAGTAGGCCTTTGCACCAACTGCTTTTTTTTAGAACCTTTCCCTCTGCCTTGCCTGTGCCTGCTCAGTGTTTCGTCTACACAAGTTGTTTAGTTCTTGTTGACGTCTAATCACATCCCTTACATAGACTTGTGGTGATGTTTTCTTCCCCTCATACTCTGGGCAAAAGAAAGTCAAGGGCAAAGACTTCTCGTGTCCGGTTAACATCATATGTGGACTAACTCCAGTGGTGGAGTGTTGCGTGCTGTTGTAAGCTCTCATCACCTGTAGAAGGTATCTTCCCAATCGGTCATGTACCGGGAACAATATAACCTCAGCATCGACACCAACGTCCAATTTTGCCTTTCCACTAAACCATTCGTCTGGGGGTCGTATGTCGTGCAGTGAGCTTGAGCCACCTGTGAGCGTCTCATGAGCTCTTTCGTAAGTTCTCCCACGAAAGCTGTTCCGTTATCCGATTGAAACGTCATCGGACAACCATGTCTCGCTATCCACGTATTGATTAGATGATCGCACGTCTCTTCTGCTGAGGCAGAAGTGGTCTATCATGACCAAGACTTGATTATAGCCACTGTCTGTCATACATATTTTCTGGTGGTCAATCTGTAAAATCTCGTTGAATTCAGATGACTCGATCGACTGCAAGGGAAATCGCAATTTCCTTGGATCCTTGACCTGCTGGCACAACAGACATGCTGTTACCCACTTCTCGCATGCCTTCTTCAATCCAGGCCACTCAAAGCGTTTCAGGATCCTCATGTACATTTTGTCGAATCCCTGATGGCCCATTTGATCATGCGACCTGAATAAAAGTTCTGTCTGATAGAGTTGCGGCAACACTATCGCGTTGTATTTGTACAGGACTTTGTCTTCTTCTCTTCTCTTACAAGCCACGATCCCGTCCTTGTTCAGAAATAACCTTCCCTCTTTTTGTATAAAGTACTGTCTCAGAATACGATAACTATCTTTCTCCAGGTCACCTTTAAGTGGTGTTCCATTTTCGATCCACCTTTTCAGGTTACTCGTCATGCGGTCATTTATTTGTGCTTTTAGTAGGTCTGAGAGTCTGTATCTCGCCTTAAAGTACGTCTTAATGACCCTCAAACGACTATTTGTTTCACCTGGCTGATGCGTGTCATCTTTCATCTTCACGTACCAAATTTTCGCCAATGGCTCTGTCTCTTGTCTGAAGGGTTGAAGATTAGTCTTGACTACTTCTTTCTGCGGCAACAAACTTATCGATCGTTTCGATACCGCTATTGTTTCTAGATCATCCGCTGCGTTGCCAAAGGCTGTTTCGCTGGGTACCAGGTAGCGATCACTGTCAGGGTCATGATATAACTATCTGTACAAGTCTCTTGCTGGAGTCTCCACTAGTAATGTGTGGATCGCTAGCTCTGACAATACCGATCCCGTGCACGTGTTCCTGTCTGAGTAAGTGCCAATTCCTCAATTCCTCGAGTTGTCATCAACGGAGGAGTCTGTCACTGAGCATGTTTCTTCTTCGGGATCAGTTTTATGCGCTCTGCTCATTCATCTGAACTCCCCGGACAAAATTTTATCCTCCAGGTCTTGTTCCTCACCTCGAACATTTTCCTCTACACCTGACTCATCGGACAAATTTTCTTGTCCCGGGTCTTGTTGACAAATTCGCCTGTTCTCATCAACAACCTTCTCCCCGGACAATTTTTCTTGCCCCAGGTTTTATTCAACCTCTTCGCCTTCCTGATCCTGATCCTCAAAGGTCACGGTTTTTCTTTGTGTAACTTTCACCTGTTCTTTCCGTTTGTATGACGTACTTGGCAAAACGTTTTGGGGTATCGAGGACACTAGTTGCTGAACTATTGTCCTACAATCCCTTTAATTTTCCTCGTGTTGACGTCTTGATGGCTTAATCTTTATTTTCTCAGTGGCTGTCAGCAATGCCATGGCTGCTGCCCACTCGGGGTCATCTCTTGTTACTTCCCTCTCCAACAACTCAACCAGCATCCGCATCACCTGCGGAGTGACCTGCAATGAGAGGCTGTTTATGTTCGTACGAGAGAGTTCCTGTTGGACCAGGTCCAAACGTAAAAACAGATCCAAAGCCACCGGGTCCTTCTTTGATAAGATCTTTATTTCCGCTGCCTTTTCCACCGGTAACTCGGGGTGTCCCGAAATTGGATGTCGAGATTTGTTCAAACATCTCGTCAAGGGAAGCGCCTCATAGGTTTCTTTGTTCAGAAACGAGAACCTTTCCTTGACTTCGGCCTGATTGGCTTGCTTCTGTTCAAGTCTTTCATAAAACTCAGTCTTCTTGTAGAGGCTGTCATCATTCTGGTGTTTGTCGCGCATCCTGTGCTCGATTATCATGTGGTAGCCGTTTAATCTGACTATCCACCGACCAAAATAGCTCAGGTCCATCGAGTACGTCTTTAGCCAGGATAAAGCCCTATTGTCTACGCGTTACTTAAAGGGAGCACTTCCTAAGTATGCGCGGTACTTCTCCACGAATATGACAACAGCAAACATTTCCGCCTTTGGTGCACCATATTTCATTTCAGTGTCACTCAACACTTTACTGCCATATGCAATGGGACGGAGAACTGTTCTCCCATTCCATTCCTGCTCCTGATGCAATATTCCTGGGATGGCCACCACTGATGCATCTGTGTCAAGAACATACAAGCCCCTCTCTATAGGCATGCCTAGCACTGGCGCTTCGCACAGTTCCCGCTTTATGTTCTCAAAGGCAGCTTGAGCTTCTTCGTTCCATTCGAAATTCTTTCCCTTGTTGCGCATCAGTTTCTGAGTACCTTGTCTGCGTACCCTTTTATGAATTCATGGTAATAATTGGCAAATCCTAGGAAGCTCATGAGTTGTGTGTCCGTTCTGGGAGCCTTCCATGTCAACACAGCCTCTACTGCTTCCGGGTCCGGCCTTACGCCATGCCTGTCCACAATTCTTCCCAGATACTTGATTGAATCCCTGAGGATTTCCCATTTCGATGGTTTGCATTTCAAGCCTGCTCTTTTCATGCAACCAAAGACCTCATCGAGCCGACCAATGTGGTCTTCCAAGGTGGGTTTTGCTATGACCACGTCCTCCACATAACACATCACAAAGTTCCTGTACTTCTTCGTCACCTTGGTCAAAGCCTGAGCATTCAGACATTGAAAAGTGGCCGTGGCGTTGCACAAGCCAAAGAACATCCTCTTCCACTGGTACAACCCCAATTCACATGCAAAACCGGTCTTTTCTCTGTCCGTCTTCCGCTGTGGGACCTGCCAGAAGGCAGAACTCAATCCCAGTGTGGTGAAGAACTTGGCGTCGCCAAGTTTCGAGAGGCTCTCGTCTTTTCGCGGTATCGGGTACGCATCTTTTTTTTGTCACTGCATTCAGGTAACGAAAGTCTCAATAGAACCTAAGCTACACCACCTTCTTCTTGGCCATGACTACCCCTCAAGCCTAAGGCAATTTCGAGGGTTCTATCATGTCGTATTCGAGCAACATTTCTATTTCCGCTCGGCACGCTTCCGATTTATGAGGCGTCATTCGCCTTGCGCCTTCCCTATGAGGAATGGCGCCTTCCTCTAATTCTTTTTCGTATTCGACGAAGTTGCAGCAACCGATGTCCGCCTTATGTTTTGAAAATACGTCCGCATTGCGATTTAAAACCGCCCTTAATTGTTCAAATTCTCGCTCACCTATTTTCCCTCTCAAGTGTTCTATTTCCGGCAAAACCAATTTGTCGGATTCTAGTTCGTATGACAAGGGGCGTTCCAGAAAATTCGAGAAGCTCGACAAGCCGTCATCCGTTCCGGATTTCATTGAAAACAGTTTATTAACAGATTTAAATTCATCAATTTTCATTAAAAATTTTTATCTTTATCAGCATGATTCGAGCAGTCTTTCACATTATATCTCTTCAAGTTTTGTGTCTCACCATAGTCGGTTTTCATCGGCAAAGCGTAACCAAGTTTCTTTCCTCGCTGGATTGTAACCATGGTGTCCAGTGTATTCAACAACACACTGGCACTCATCCCGTATCGTGTTACTGAAAACTTCCGGCCTAAAACCACCGAGCTTTGACTATTTGGGTTGGGTATCAGACAAACTTGTTGACTATCACTTAGCGAATTTAAATATCTCATCCTAAAAATTGCTATTACAGCTTGTCCCGGCTGTAGTTTTACCTTTATATCTAAAAAAAATGGTACCTTGTTTTCATCTGTTATTATTCTATCAATTGGTTTCTTAACATACTTCCGGTCCAGGTTTCTAATCCTTATTAGGCCGTTGTTGAAGTCAACCATCACATTGAAGTTCCGGACAAAATCACGTCCCAGGGTGAATTGGTCTGAATTGTCTAAATTCTCAACCACCAGGAAGCTCATTCAAAGATCGCGTCCTCCCATGTAAAGGACCGTTATTGGACTCCTTCTGGCCACGTAGATTGATCCGCGCTTGGCGGCCGCTAGTTTGAGATTCGTTGAAATTAGATCTTCCCTCGTGAAGCCCATCCTTTCCCAAGTCTTTATTGGCATCACGCTTACAACTGCTCCCGTATCCAGTAGTCCTGTCACTCCAACTTTCTTCCCATTGGTGGCTAGCAGATGTGAAGTCACATCTGCCTCGTACCCTATGTGCATCATGGCATCTTGCTCCATCATGGCATCTATAGCCGATTCTACGGACCCTAAGTTCTTCCTGACCCAAATAGATTTGCCCCATTTGGTCACTATCTGTTGTGACGTAGATCCTAGTGTAGATACTTATCCCGTCAACGTTCAACATCACTTGATACGGTCCATAGACATCCACGTAGCGCCCGTGGAGTTTCTTCGTTCGAGGGCCACCAGTTGTCAACAACGCTCGCTCAGCCCTCGACTCAATGCGTGCCTCTACCCCTTATTGACTGTATTCTGCTTCCTTGTGTCACCATTCCGAACATCTGCCCAGAGATCACGTTTAGTTTCATGGTCAAACTTCGTGCTTTCGTTTCTTCGACTTCTGTTGCCTCGGAGGCGTTTAGCCTTTCCTGAATTTTTTCGTTCTCTAGCTCGAGCTTCACTTTTTTTTCGATCTCCTTTGTCACCAACTCCTGCTGGGTTCTGTTTAGAGCATCCCACGCGACTGCCCTATAGTCGATCTTGAAGTTATCTGCCGCAGTTGTTGGTTCAGGTTCACGCATTTCTTCAGTTACTGCCTGCATCTTCTTTGTTGCCAACTCTTGCGGTTTCTCCTTTCTGCGTGCCTCCGCTTCACTCATTAGGCGAGCCTTGCTGGCTTTCACAACCGATTAAGCTTCCTCATGCCTTGGATGCTTGATGTCTGCCATACCATCCCAAAATTGTGGACAATCCGATTTAAAATGACCTTCCAAGTTACAAAAGAAACCCCTTGGGCCAAATTTCGCAAATAATCCCCTCATGAAATCTACATGATCGACCTCTGAGGCATCTTCGTCCTCGAGGCTTAAGCCTATTGCTTTCATGCCCTAGTTGTAGGTTGGGCATACTGACACATGATGGTCCGTCGATGGGCAATTTGCACAAGAGCGTCTCTTGTCCACATCGTCCCTTGGTTTGTACCAATTGTTACCTTGGTTTGCTGGTCCATTGTTAAAGTTGCCATAAATGTTTTTGTAATATCCAGATCTCGATGGAGGCTTCAGTAAAAGATATTCATTTGACTTGAGTCTCAACTCCTCTGGTGTTGGCGCATTGGTTGAAAAAGGTGAGTAATATGTCGCTAACATCAATCGAAGCTCATCATTCTTCACACCATCGATGAATTTTGCAGCTACTGCCAGGCTCATCCTTCTGTTCGACTTACGTAGTTGGCTACGCCTTCTAAGCATCTCCAAATCGTCTTGAAACTTGTCTATCGCCTCGTCTTCACATTGCTTCCGTTTCTCGAAGCGCACCATTGCTTGGTGTCCTTGCACCCCTGAGCCAAAACGATTTAACAAGATTTCAAAGTTTTTCTCAGCAGTGTCCCGCTGGTTTTGCTTTTTGGCCAACACACAGTTTAGGGCTGTCACTTCCAGGTTACTGGTGAGAGCACTGCATTCTTGTCTTTCTGACAAGTCCTCCTCTTCAAAATGCAGTACATTATCTCTATCCAGGTATCAATGCAGCCATCAGATTCATCTTTATACCATCTTGGTTTCTTAAAAACTCTTCTGGACTTTTCACTGCGTTCATTGGTTCTAGATAACCCCGTTAGGAATGTTTCCAAAGACCTGTTCAAAGGTAGGTTCAAAGGCTGTGGCCATGAATATAGCGTCTCTTGAATGCCCCGCTTCGGCATCATTGCCCCCTGATAGAGGCTCTGGGTTTTCCCTCCTGTCCGAATCGCTGGGGTGACTTCTTCCTTGATTCGCATGACTCCAGTTCCTGGAATCACATCTACCAGTCGCATGTGTATCTGGCGTCGGTCGTTCGTTTGAGGTCGGTCTGTTGCCAGTTGAACTTTTTCTGATGTTTAGGCTCCGTGGCCTATAGTCCCCTGTGGCATAGCTGGATGAACTGCCCCTTCCTCTAGTGGATCCATATGTTCCTCTCCTAATCGGTTGTTCATTGAAGTTCACTCTCAGCTCCCTGCTGGGTTCTCCTGAGTTCGGTTCTCCATTCTTCGATCCACTCCTGCTGCCCAGTAGCCCATCCAACCTATCCATGATAGCCTGAGATCGCCTCTCCATCATCGCGTCGATCTTCGTGACAAGAGTGCCAAGAGTCTGCTCTTGTTGAATTTTCAACTTCTCCATGTCATCTCTCAATTGTAATTCTCTCTGCTCGGCTTCCCTAGTCATTTGCGACAAGTTCTTAGCCAAGTGTTCATCCGTTCTTTACTTCAAGCGTTTTTCGCTTCTGCTAACTTCTTGTCTGTTGCGGTTGATCTCTTCCCGCAGGTTTTCTCTCTTGATGTGGACTGCCCTTTCTAGTTCCCTCATTCTTAAAGACATCTGTTTATTCTGTTCTCCTAAGCTTCCCACTATGTTGGTCAAGGCTTCTTTGATTGATGCTCCGTTGTCCATTAATGGCGTCACCCTGTCGGTTCCAGGTAGCTTGGTGCTGGTCGAGACTCGGGTCTTGATTCTCTGCCTCGACGTCTCTTCATGATCCGCAGGTGCGTTACATAGCCCTGTGTTTCTGTTCATCCCAGTTCGCATCTCCCAATTCGTCTTGGTCACAAAGTCTCCTGACTGGCCTGATCCATTTGTGGTCTTGCTTTTTGTCCTGACTACACCAAATTGGTCCATGGAGCCATTCCCTCTATCGGTGTATGCGTCATTCTCCTGAGTCGAACTATTGAGGCTGACTTGAGATCCGGAGCCATCTTACTCGTCATCGTCCTTCTCTTCTTCCTGGGTTTCTGCTTCATCGCCTGTACCCGTTCCCATGGTAATTGGAAAGAAGTTTCCCAAAGTGTTCTTCACTCTTTCTAAAAACGAGGAGGACGTTGCCGGTTTCTCTGTCACGCCATGCATCATGTTGTTGTCTGTGGGTGATCTTGTGGTCGCCACATTTTCAGTAGAGATGTCGGACAGGTCCGTCATCTTTTCTCGGTCTAGAGTCCCGGTGCAAGTGGCAAAATCTTGGCCTTGTTCTACCGGAGTAGCTTCTTGATGGTTCTAGATAACCTCGTTAGGAATGTTTCCAAAGACCTGTTCAGAGGTGCAAAGGCTGTGGCCATTTGAACCTCTGAACAGTGGCCTTCTATTTCCTCTCCCTTCCGGTCCATGTCCGTCCCGGTTCTCATCCATGGCAGGTTTCGGATGGACCTCTACTTCTAAC